AGACCAAGTCGACTCCGACTCATCTGCCGCTTTTTTCCGCCGACTTAACTTAACTGATGTTGGACATGCTGCTTAGAGTTGTTTACCCGATTATTCGCATGTATTTTGACTGTCAGGAGAATGGTCGTTGGCTGCTCATCAGCTCTTCGATTCGGCGAAAGTTTTTCCAGGTGCTTTAAGCCATTTTCAGATAGGGAGGTTGAAGGCACTCGGCTAAGCTGGAAGGATGAACCGCCCATCAGGAGTTTATCCATCACAGAGAGATATAAAGATATTCGGGAAATATCAATATTTTACATTTTCCAGTGGTCTTAAGGGGATTTCCTCCATTGGTTGCTTTACGTAAACAGTTTAAAGCTTTTGTGAACATTAAATATATCTAAATATCTTTAAAATAAATAAAGTTATTCAAGCAAAGCCAAGACAATCATTTGGATTTTAAATAAGAGTTAAAAGGTCAAGCAATTATATTTTCCCTTATTTGTAGTTTAACATAAGCAATTTTATGTTCCTGGGATCTTTTCTATATCTTAACTTCTTCAAGATGCAATGAGTTCTTAATTAAATAAATAAGTGACGAAGATATCAGGAAAATGGCAATATGCAATCTTGATTCAAGAATGTTTATCATCATTCATTCACTAGTTTATGTAAGCAGTTTTTAGCTTCATAGATTTCTAAATATATCTTAAATATCTCGAAATATCTTTATAATATTCAAAGTTATTCATGTATAGCTTAGCCAATCATTTACTTCTGACAAACAGCTCAAATAGTCTCTATTGAAGAAGATTTCTTCAATGACTTTTTATTAAAATTTTCCACATTCCTTGCATATATTTATATAATATTCTTATGACTGCACCTTTAAATTCTTTTGGTGGCTCTAAAAATAGCCACAAGCTTAGGTAGCAATTAAAAGTCAATAATAATACCGCTTAGTCCGAGCTGAGCAATGCAATATTCGATTTTCTCGGCTTAGCATTGGATGAAGCCGGCTGAGTGGCGATGCTGGCCTTGTTCTTAATAGACAAGCGTTGTTTTTTGCATACATTTCCATGGCAGATGCATAATTAAGCCGTCGTCCAGCCGGGCGATATCGGGTTCCAGTGCTGACCGCAGAGACGAGTGGCAAGTTCTAACCTTGCAGCGGCCGCCTGAAAAGAATGCAGCTGCAAGGTTCGTTGCCTAAGTCTTTTGTGGGAGGGGCAGCTTTTAATTCTAGTCGATGCAGGGGGCGTGGCCAGACATCACGTAGCCGTAGAGGGCCACCATAAAAACGCGCTTAAATTCATATAAGAAAAGGCCCAACTTTCTTCGCGCCACTCTCACTTCGACGGCTTATCTGGAATGTTTTTATCTTGCATCTGCATAAATATCGAGATGCGACATCAAGCATTTCGTAAGATTTGAATGCGTTTCATCTCGTTCCATCTGAGGCATGTTTTCGTTTTCATTTCATTATGATGGAAATGGAAATGGAAACTTCCTCGGAAGACGCGTGTGTGTGTGCCTACGTAATCGACTTTGGGTGAAAGACCCCGCGAGATACGAAAGTCGCCCGAGGCAAAGTGCTGAAATATTGATGCTGAGACTCACAATAACAGAATTTGGATTGAATGGAACGTGTCACACTTGATTCCACAATTAAGTTGGTAAAAGTCAACAGTTTTGAGCTGATCTGCGGAGTAAGTTATGATTACGAGTGCCACGATCTACACTTCACATGGGAGAAGGAGAAACATAGATCAAAATGAAACAAATGCTATCTAAACTTTAATTCTTACTTTTCCTGCTTGTCAATTATTTAATTATTTTCAAAATTTCTTTAGTTGAGCTGTAGAATTCCTAATCAAGCTCCGCATTCTCTCTTTTCTTGCACATTCCTCTGGTAATTGCAAGTCTGTAAGTTGTAAGAAAATCGAAATCAAATTAAGATTCCGACCAAAGCTACGCCTCATCCCCCGGGCAGTGCTCGGCCTAGTGGCTATAAATTTGATATTCAAAGTAAATTTTCAATTTCTACGCGAATAGATATTTCCATAAATAAACCGCATAAATCAGAGCTGAGACCGCGGCTGACAGCGCTCAAAAGCGAACTCGACTCATTAGTAATCAAAAGCTGTGCAGCTCCGGAGACCGCGAACTGGAGAATCTGAATCGAAGACAGGCTTCGATACGCGTCCATTGAATTCTCGCCGAGAGCGGAGACTTGCACAAATTGTTGCACAAGCCGGAGACGGAGACGGAGCCGGAGCGCGGATCGTGGGCAGTAAGTGGCTGGTTGCCACTGGAGCGATGTCGCCAACGCATCGACATTGCCTCCGGCGTCCTTCTGTCCCATCCGTTGCACAGGAAAAACAATATACTAGAAACTTACTAGTACAAAATATTACTAAATCTATTAGGAATATTATAGTTTTTAATAATAATATAATATATTTATATAACCTAACCTAAACTCTTATCACAGAAAACCTTCATAAACACCTCTGATTGATTACAAATAATTATCTAACTTGGGTTCAAATTAGTCTTGAATTTCTTATAATATAAAAACATATCTTTCAAGTCTCTCTAGATTAAAATACCTCTATCCTAGGTACACTTTTTTTCGCCCAGTGTTGTGTCTTCGATTTCAAGACTCTCCAGACCACCGAGCGCAGAACCCCTGTTACCTTGTTGACTTTGCCTTAATGGCTATTCGGCCGTGTTGCTCTCTGTGGCAATTTAAATATTTTAGCCATTTCATTTTGAACATAATGCTCCCAGTGCCGCTGACCTGTAAAAACACTCGAGTGTCGCTTGTTGAATGGGAACAAAAAATCTACGAAAATTTCTACTATTTTGCATTTGAGTTGTGATCATTATTTCTGCAGTTTACAACATTTTTTCTGAGCTGTTTGGTAACAGATTTTGTTGTTAAGTGGACTTCGTTAGACTCAATTTTACTTGGTCGTTTTAAAACATATTTATTTTTGGAAATATTTCAAGTATAATATAAGATGCTGGCATTATTTTGAATGTTACTATTTTCTCATATAATTAATGTTGAAAGCATTATGAAATGTTTACGTTTTTTTAGTTTTATATTTATAGTTTATTTTCCTACAGTTTATCGTATCGTGTTAATTAGAGCTTAGGCTTTTTATTGGTTAGCACCTTTTATAAATAAAACCAGGTATGGTATTTTTTTAATTAACATTATAATGGAAAACGGCTTAACCAAATCGAAACTTCATGTCTTTTTAGTTTACATACAGTTTGTAGCAAAACAGACTGTTAAAAGGGGTTATCTGGTACTGGATTTTATATAAATCTTGCTTAATTTAATTGGTTTTGTTTGAGGATTTCTTGACCTTGATCTTGGTTCCGCCCACCGATGATTTCTTTCGACCATTTAACTTGGCCTTGTTGGAGGATAATGCAGCGGGCTTAGGCTTAACCACCCTAGGCTCCACTCGAATGTATAGATCGTAGTTGAAGTCCCCGCAGGTCTTGCCTGGTAAAAGAGTAATAAAATATAAAGGATAAAGAAAATGATGATTTTGTTACCGCAACACATTTCCTCGCCACAGGACTCGCATGTCATTAGGCGGGTCTCCACGATGCCCGACTTGTTCTTGATCTTCTTGACACAATTGTTCAGGGCAAACTCCCTTCGATCCCGTGCCTCTGTCTTCAGCTCCAGCTTTCCCATCTCCACCATCCGGCTGAAGTACTCCTCCTCCTGCTTATTCTTGGGTCGCAATGTGGTCAGCATTTTCCAGTCGATGGGCACAGCGCATAGCTCCATTAGCACCACATCCTTCATCTCGCCGGGAACGGGATCCGCGTAAGTGTATAGCGCCTCTCGCTCACCATTGGTCCTCATGAGCTTACGCATCTCCTTTTTGGGCATCTTGAAGGCATAGTCCTTCTCCCGGATCTTGATTTCCTCGGCACGCACCTTGACTGGACGCATCTTGTAGTCGGGCACCTTCTCAAATAGCCTCTTGAACTCTTCGATGGTCTGGATGTTGCTCCGACTGAGATCCAGGACGGGCACCACCGTTTTCTTTTTCGACAGCAAATCATCGAGTTTGCTCATTTTTGTAAACTATTTTCAAGGGTTTAATTAGAAAAAACAAAGAAACAAATATTGAAGTTGTTTAAACTGAATAACTAACTTTATAGACTTTCTAACCTGATTTAAATAACCAGAGCTAGAAATACAAATCCTTTTCGAGTTAGAAAAACCCTAAATGAATATCGATTAAATATAAATGGTTGCCTAGCAATAGCCTTCCTCTGATTCCAGCAGTTCTGTTCCCCGTCCTTTATATATTAGTTTACTTGTTTATTATTTATCCTACTTAGTATACTTATAGCTCCTTCTGTTCTCTTTCTCTCTTTAAAGATACAACTCTATCACGTGCCGAAGCTACAAGTTGTTGATAAGTCGCTGGACAAACAACGAACGAGACCCGAAGACCCCAAAAAAAACTCGCTGAGAAGTCGGCAGCCAGAAAGCTGAGCACAGAAACAAATAAACCCAAATCCCAAAACTCAAACCCAAATCTCTGGGCTGGCATTTCATTTACCTGGCTCGCGTTACGTGGTGCGGTCGGTGTCTCGTCTGCCCGCCAAAAAGAAAGTCACGACGACAGAAACGAGATTTCCAAGATTCTGCAACGAAAGTCAAAGTTACAAGTTTACTCCAAATTCGAGTCTTTCGGTTCGGTTCAACGTCTTCTGTCACTCCGGTTTCGTCGTCTCCGTGCTCTTTTTCGGCGGTGTGTCTCCTCCGCCGGTGTGTGCCACTTTAGAAAGTGAAAATCGAGTGCAGTCTGTGCCTGTGCCTGCCTCTGGGCGCTGCAACTGAAAGTGAATTCGGACAGCAAGGGATTTCGGGTCTCTCTACGACCAATTCATCATTTAACCATTATCCATCGGTAGCCCGGGAATTCGGCTTCTCAAAAGCACTTCTCATACATCGGCAGGAGGGCCCCAGCATAAAGGCATAAAGCAACAATGGAGGCCGAGGAAGTTACAAAACTCGTCGATGGCGTGTACAGGGTAAGATTTCTATTAATACTTGCATTACTGTGTGGGGGCCTAGACAGTATTTGAACTTGAAATTCATACCTCTTAATTCGTTTTTCCTAAATCGAAATATTTAATTTAAAACATAATTGCACACCGTCTACTCCACTTGCCTTGAGGTCACAGCCACAACTTATGCAACCCCACTGACACCTGAAATACAAAACGCAGCTTTTGGCCGAAGGCCGTTTCTATTAGCCACTTGCGACTAATTCCCAGTTACGTTCATAACGATGTGTACCCTTTTGGAAAACAATTTATAACGCTAAATGTTTTCTTTTTGTAACTAAATTTATCGCCACACGCGATCTCCATAAGCGGCAGCCAAACGAAAGCGACCAAAAATTAATCTACAAAATGAAAACAAAGAGCCGTGACTTGAAAGTTTACCAGGGATACCCTTGAAAGTTTACCAATATATAGTGATTTCAATAATTATATTTTATATCTAAAGGTACATTAAATATATGAGGCTTATGGTGCTAATATGTGATAAATTCTGGATACATTACACATAAGTAACCATCAAATGAACTTCTTCAAAGAAACCTTCAAACTTTTATGATTGAAATGAAAACTTAATTTGAACATTATAATGGCGTTTAATTTTTTAATGTTAGGTTCACAGATAGTTAAACAAACAGCTTAGACAGTGTTCCAAACTTGATTTGGGGTCTTAAGTACCCCTTGGAAGAGCATTCAAGCTTTGGGATCATAACCAGAAACACACAAATAGTATATTTGAAGATTAAAATGGTAAAATACATTTTGAAAGTGAATTTTTTCTTGTCGTTGGGGCTGCTGTGTAAATTCATAGCCAAATTTGGTCACGACACACGGTGCTTGTATCTTGGTTTTCTTTTATTTTTATTTATTTTTTCGGCATACATTTCTGCTTAGGCCTCTATATCTTGCAAAGCAAACGAGTTCAATTGGGTATTTGATTTGTTTGTCTGCAATTCCCCACAAACGGCTGGGAAACTAAAAAAAAAGGTTTGCAAAATAAAGAAAAGAAACCGAATGCGACGACTCCGCCTTGAGAGTTTGGCAAGTTTCGGCTTCTCTTTTCCAGAGGTTGCATCTGCCCGAAGTTGGCGGCTATTGCACATTTCGCGCATCTATTTCATTATGTAACTTTCGGCTGTAATTTTTTTCTTTCTTGGAAAACTTGCTGTTGCCGCTAGTTTGTGGTTTCTGCCGCCTGAAAATTGCGGAAACTTAGTTTTTGTTTTTTTCGGCTAGCTTCCTTGGCTGCTGTTGCACATGGCTGCATTTTCGCGACCGCCATTTGCATTTTTCCCGCTCGTGTTTTTCTTTTTGTTTTTTTTTTCTCTCTTGTGTTCGCACTGTTATTGTTTATTTGCGACAATGTAAATCGAATAAATGGGCGCTGCTGCTGGCTGATTTAATTAGAGCCTTGCCTGCGGGGCACTTGACAAACCCGAGTGGAAACGAAAGACTCAGGAAACGAACTCGCTGCGGCAGGAAAAGAGATCGGAATTGGAATCTCAATGGCCGGGCATCAATCAACTGGAGTCACTTCCTCCTCGACGCATACCAGATTATGACTTAATTCATGGACCAGTCCATTAATCGATTTATTATATAAACATTTCATTTGCTTACTTATGTATATTTGTGTATGAGCTGCATGGAGTTCGCCTTGTTTCGCCTAATGGATTGCCTGCCATTTGCCTTTCTGTCCGGGAATGTGTGTGAATTCACTTCTGGGTTCGGTCTGTGCAAGTTCTTGAACGGGTTTTAATTAATGCGATACCATTCGGGCTTCGGTTCTGTCTCTATTCTAAACTCATTAGTGGACCGCGTTTGCTTATCTTTATTTTTGGGTCGCGTTTTGGCCTTTCTAAAATTGGCACACTTAACCGTTTTTAAAAAGGGAGCCGAAATGTGAATTTTAGAGGCAGTTAGCCAAACGATTGATGTGTTTTAATGCCAAAAATAAAGTAATTTATATTCCAATCCAAATAAGAAACCAATACGGTTCGGTTTGGGCATTAAATTAATTTTCTATTAGTTACTATTATTCAGTTTAATTTATTGTTTAATCATTTATTGTGCAAACAAATATTGTTTATTTATTTATTGTTACTTGTTCAGTTTCCCTTTAATTTGCAAACATGATTACGTTTACGGTTTTAAATACTTTAAAATGCTTATATAATTCCAGCAGAGGCATTGCAATTTATGAAACTTGTAGCTTAAGTTTTTGCTCGCACTCGTAATAAATCTTGTACTCTGTTTAACGATAAATCTTGAATGGCAAACGAGTAAAGTTGCCTGAGAGATGTACTTAAGAGATGATTGCTAAAGTCGCTTTCACTTTTCATTTTTAAACTTTTATCTGAAGCCAGAAATAAGTAATGATTCTCTTAATAAAATATATAAATAAACAGCTATGACAGGAAATAAATTCGGAATTTGTTTAGCTTCATAAAAAAATGTACTTAGTTTTATGATCCATGGAAGTTCTACCGCCAACAAGTCCCCTTCTCCTTCTACCACTATATAATATAAATGTTCATTTTTTGTGTACATAAAACCACAAGCTACTGGCAAGCAAGTTTTGAGACGTCAAGTTGATTTCAAAAAACGCATTTCAAGCAAACAGCTGCCAGTGCCAGCCCGGTGGCGATGAATGCCTTCGAATTGTTTGTCACTCGCTTAGATTTATGGCACATTCTCCGCAACATAAATCGAAACCGAAGCCCCTGTGAGAGCCTGCCGCCAGTCGGGTTGAGTCGAATGGGATTGGATCAGAATGACATCCAGCTGACCACACAAAAGCCAACCTGCCTGCCTCCTCCAGACGGGTGGAGAAGTCGCAAGAGAAGGTGTTGGAGAAGGAGATGGTGGAGGCGAAGCCCCTCAAGAGTTGGCACCCAACACTGCCGGTGCACTGCCACATTGTGGGCCGAAGGTGTCCAAAGTGATGAGAAAACGCGGGGAAATAAATTAAAATTGCAGCCACCTAGTGTCCACAGACAGTCCGGGGGATCGAGGCTGCCGGTGGCGACTGCAGACTTCGGACCATGGACTGCAGCTGATTGCCATGTTGAAGGCATTTCTAAGGCTGCTGCATTAGAGGAGCCACCGCCACTCGGAACGATGTCAAATCCATTGGCCTGAGGCAGGGGGAATCGGTGTGGTGGCTTGGCATGACCATGGCGAATGGAACTGGTTTAACGTCCTACTCGCCGGCGAGAAGCCCTACCAATCTCACTGGGTCCATTTCCCAGATACCCTATTTGCTTGGTGGGATGGTTAAGAGCTTTGCTAAATATTTAGCTTGCTTTTAAAAGCGAACAAACATATGCTTTCATATGAAAGAAGTCATTTAAAGTGAGCACATAAAACATAATGCTACCTTTACTGAAACAAAAGTTTCCGCATAAATTGATTCCGTTTGAAAGCTCTCATACCTTTGACCCAAAACAATTACCGAACAAAACCGAGTACACTTATATTTGTCATTGTTATATATCCTAAACTTGGCATGTCCTAGCCCCATCTACTCCTTCATATCGTCAAGGACATCTAGTCTTCGCTGGCAGAAAATTACAATTTCATTTGAGTTCGGCAAAGAACCAAGCCTGGGAAGAAGTCACGCAACCGAGAACTAACCGCGCTTAGCATTTTTCACGCACTTTGCGTTCATCTGTGGATACTTGTGGATACTTTTCATGTGGCAGGGAGGGAGGAGGCGTGACTGGTTGCGCCTTAACGCCTTCGTTGAGGTTTTTGTCAACAGCCAAGTTGAGTTTGACTTTGTGTTTGAGGCAAACCTGTTGCGTGTTGCTTTTTTGCATTTGTTGGTTTCTAATTGGCATAATTGCGGTATACTGTTGCTGCCCCGGCTACGTGCTGCATTCCCGCATGCTCTGCGGTGGGTGTGTCTCCTGAGTTATGGCCCAACCTGAAAGAGGCTCTCCAAACGCCAAAGCGCCTGCACTCCTAAACCAAACGGACACTGAAAAAAAATCTAGAGTTTTTTGCGGGTATATACCTTGGAACTCCAAGTTTAGTTTATAATTATTTAAGGCTATGAATTTTAACATTTAAAATAAAGTATTTATATAAAAGAACCTGCAGCACATACTAAAACATTTCCCTTACAAAATTGATATGTGTGCAATCTGGAATATAGTTTACCTTACAAGTTTTAAATTATATCCAATGGTCTTTGAGTATTTCTATAATTCTTCACAGTTTAGTATTCATTAGTAAGAAATGTATACCTTTTAACATGGGTTGGTCTTTCTATGAAATAATTTTATTCTTTGTAATAAATTTTATCTTGATTTTCTATTAACAAACGTATAGACAATTTTGTAAATATATTAAAAAGGTGTAAGTGAAATTGTTAGGAATTTTAAATTGGCTTAAAACACCGTAACAATTACAAATGCAATGTGAAAAATACAAAGTTGTTTTAAATTGATTCCTTATAATTTGATTAGCTGATTTTTCTCTCTGTATACCGCCCAACATTCCGCCTCGTTGCTTTTCTAAGCAAATGGGAGGCTTTCGTGTTATGCTTTACATTTAGTCTCTGTTTTAATTAAAAAAATTACACATGTGTGGCGCTCACTGCTGGCGATTTATGTTAAGCGACGATTAGAGACCAAGTCACATGGGCTTGGGTTTGGGTTTGGGGTTCGGTTTAAGTTCGAAACTGGGGCTTGGGATCTGGATATACTATACATTTACTATATAAGTGCTGGGCAAGACTACCTCAATTAATTTTGGGTTAAGTGTTGTCTGTGGGTCGCAGATTCGCGGGCGTGATAAGCGATTGCGTCAGCTTTTGGGCCAAGACTGAGGGAGAAGGTGGTTAGCCTGGTTAATTGCTGAATCGAACGAGCAGGAATTTGCTAAACACTTGAGCCAATTACACAAGGCGATGGTATCGCTTGAAAAGGGAACTTGTTTGCCAAATTTATTGCGAATAGATTGGTTGATTTGGTTTGTTCAGCAAGGAAAAATATTATGCTGGAAATAGCCAGAAAACATATTATATCTAATTTAATAGAATTATTCTGTTAGTAAATTAGACACTAAGTACTTACATATATTAATCTTTCAAAAGATTTTAAATGTCCGTGATTCACATTTAATATCAATAATGTACAAAAATTACTTTCAAGGGTATAGTAAGAACGAAAAATCGTGTGTTATTATGGCCTACTCCAAGTTCAATTCCAAGATATGGATTTGCAGCAACCACAAAATGAGTTGGCCACAACAACGAAGCAATTAACATTGATAAAACCATTAATGCTGTATCGCAAACACACTTGAATCTATCAAGTTATTCGGATATCCATGTCTATCTAAACAAAACTTATCTCTATCTAAGCCAGATAAACTGCACAGAGGTCAGCAGAGAAGAGCCAAAGTCTGGAGATGCAGGCGAGTGCAGATGCGAGTATCTGTATCTCAAACTATATTTAAATCAGCCGGGTTGTAGATCATAAAAGCAAACACTCGAGCGAGCGAGTTGAATCGTTAAACTGTGACGACCTTGAGGGTCGAGTATCTAAGTATCTAAGTATCTCAAACCGAGTGCTGGCCCCCGATCCATTCCCACGCCTCGCCACCGCATTCGCAGCCAATAAATTGACTCGTAGAAAAGCAAATAAAGTAAAAACCGGGGCGTAAACATTTGGCAATAAACCGCGGCACAAGCGGGGCGAACTGTTCCAGCGCAGAATGTGTTGTTTACATACTGGGTTTTTGACATTTTCTTGCTAATTGCTTGGACTCGGCCAAGGCACTCGGTAGTTGGTAGTATGTAGCGATCGATTGTAAGTACTGGCTTTTGATCAATTCTTTTTCGGGCGGAAGTGATTGGTCGTCAAAGAATTTCCTACCTATCACGGGAACAGTCATCAATTAAGCTTAGAGAGATTCCATATGCCAAAGATTTGGCTTTCAAAGAGCTGTTGTTCGTTTGGCCAACAAGGCACACGCTTTGTGACCAAAAAGAACTTCGAATTTGGGTTTTTGTTTCCAGTTTGCGTGTTAAGTGCTCGGCATTGTCTACTACAGGCCAAGCCCAGGACCAATGAGTGGCTTTGTGTATTTTCAGGTGTCAACACTCGCCTCTCCGATGAGGTCACCTCCCTTCCACATTTCACATGACAATTGCTTCACGTCATTCATGGAAATGCAGCTTCAGCCCAAGTTCAAGTTGTGAATTGTATGCAAATCCCCGCACTTCTCAACAAAGTTGTTAATTAATTGTCGCTTGACTATTTATCGCTTAACGTTTTCCGCGGCCCTAGCCGAGATCAATTGATCGATCATATGACTCATATCTAGGTAAAGAAGGTGTAATTCAAATTAAAATAGCCTCGGCGATGAGGGAGTTCTGATAATAATCAATCACCAAGGTGCTAAGGCCACAGAAATACTATGTGTTGGTGATTTATGATCTTTTGAATTTGTTAGCAAAGTGCTTATTCTCTGAACTGTACTAAAATACTATAAATAGACAAATAGTTTTCATTTTTAGCTCTGTTTCTAAGATATAGGGTTGTGTATATTGAGCTTACTTGGTTCAAACTATTTTGATAAAGATGAAACCGGTTGACTAATTGACTATAACTAAACATCATTATGTAATAGTATTAATTAGTTTTCTATTAGACAAGTCTGAAAAGTAGGTTGACACTCTTCATATAAATAATTTTAGTGTCAGGCTAGATAAGATCTGGTTAAATCCAGTCTTTCACGACTTAAAAACGGGTTAAATGCAAAAAAAACTAAGTGGATAAAGTCTTCCTCATTTCGCGCTAAGTAAAAATTTTACTACCGACCGTAAAGGCTGAAACCAATAAATTAAAACTTTATTTTAGTATGAAATACCTTTGACAAATTGGTTTAGTAATGTAAAGATATAGTTTAGAAGATCAGTTAGATTTTACTTCATATATTTAAGCAGATATACATGATGAAAATCATACATTATAATGCCTTTTACTATCGTGCTTAAATTATAACATATTACATACTTAGTGCAGGCACAGCCTCCTAAAAATATTGATATATGTATGTATTTACATACCTACATAATATAACATTGATAATTGCATGTAAAATTTGTATGTTCTAGTAGACCTTGCCCCCCTTTTATGTGTGATTGACTTCTTAAAATATATGTTTGAATCATTCATCATTTCATTATTTATGTGTTCTTATTTACTTTTTAAATATTAACCAACTTTCATTTTAAATTGAAAATATACAATAGGTAAAAGAGAATATACATAAGAAAGAATACAAAAATGTCCTAAATTTAATTCCTTTTTATTTATTAATTTATTGATTTGATTGATTTGATTTTATTTTACTTACATTATCTTATTGTTTTCCGGTTCTTTTTCTGTTTCTGCATATTTTTCTTTCTCTCCTTGCTCACTTTCGTATTAACAAAAAATAATATTTTTACTTAAAATGGAAATTGCAATTTTTTTATTGCTTCCGGTTTCTTTTGATTTTTCTAAGACTTCTAAGACTTAATATCAATAAATTGCGTTTGTACCTAATGCGAGGATCTTAAAGCTACTAAAAGTATTAAGTTTAAACTTTTCATTTACATTCACCGCTAAATCATAGATGAGAGATTACTAAACGAGCAATTAGCATTACGAGTGCGAGTATGTATGTTCGCTCGGCTACACGGAACTAATGATGTCGCTGGCTCTGACCACAACATTGTCTTGAATTAACTTATACAACAGACTTTTACTGCCGGCGGCCGGCGGGGAAAACCATTACCAACTCGGGCGGGTTATGACGGGGGGCCGGCTGCTGAGGAAATTGAAATGTTGGGTGCCCGCTGGTCCCTCGTAAATTACATTTAATTAGCCTTGCGATAAGCAGGCATATGGATATAGCCGAGCTAACGATGCCATCGATCTCCGATCTCCTCCATTGCAGAACATACTCGATCGATTCAATCCGGGAGCCAGGCAGCTGATCGCGGCGGGCAAAAGCTACCTCAAGGCGTTGCACGGTGAGTATGAGTGCTGCTATGAGTGCTGGTATGAGTGCCAGTGCATAACACCATAATCGAGTGCTGCGAGTGGGTACAGCTAACTAATTTGCAATGCATTCCATGCCATTTCATGCAACAGGTGCCGCAACCGCCTCGCGTCTATTCAATGAAGCATTGGCCAAGATTGCGATGAACGCCCAGCAGAGCGGAACGGGCGATATTGGTAAGAGTTTCTGGGCCAAAAAGCAAAAAGCGGGCTTCTTATCCCACCCATTCTACCCCCCCGCAATTTAATTTTAATCTTTAAATTGTTTTGGTTTTATCGTTTAGGTTCGGCTTTGATGAGCGTTGTGAATGTCAACAAGGAGATACAGGAACAGCAAATGAACATTGTGAGTATACTGCGATTAAAACCATAAAAAGTATACTTGAAGAAATGTAAATTACACACCGTTCGTGTGTAATTTCTAACCATTTCAACAAATTTGATTCGCAGTTTAAAGCATAACTAATTAATTATAACTGAAGGTTGTTAGGATGAATAATACTCCAATTCAAATTAAAATTATTATAAAGTTACAATATTTAAAAGTATATATTCAAATATGTGATAGGAATACCCTAGGTATTTAAAATACTTTTTTGTAACGTTTTAGGGTAAATTACATCACTTTATTAAATCACTTGACAACTTTTGGTCACTTTCTTAGATTACTATCTATAAATGTCGTGGTTTTTAATTATCTTCCCTTTCCTTGCAGCTAAAAGCCTTCTACGTGGATCTATTGGTGCCATTGGAGACGAACCTGGAGAAGGACACGAAGGTGGTGCAGCATGAGCAGAAGAAGTTCCTGCAGCAGCACAAGGTGCGCATGGAGAGTTATCAGAAGGCCGTGTCCACCATGAAGAAGCAGCGGAAGAAAAAGGCCACGCCCGAGAATACCGAAAAGGAGCTGAGGGTGAGCTAAGGATAATATGCCCATGCGATATGAAGAGAACTCTAAAAAAACTCTTTCCCACAGAGTTTGCAAGTGCTGGAGGACCAGAAGAAGAAGCTGGATACGTTCTGCGATCAAAGCTACAAGAATGTGAGTTCACAGAGATACACAGAGGAAAATTAAAATTACAATACATATAGCTACAAAGTTCAAATAAAATATTTGAAATGAAAGTATAAACTATATTCCATTACTATAATGCTATGGCGCATTTAATATATAATAAGTTTTGACAATTAAAATAGTTTCGCTCAATGTATTACTCTTTCTCACTTCCGTTGCGTCGAAAAAAGGCCATGACACAGGAGCGGCGACGGTATGGATTCGTCTTGGAGCGCCAGTGCTCCATCGCCAAGCACTGGATGGCCTACCACACCACCGGCAAGACGGTAATTGATAATAATTTTGAAAATTGGCAAGAGATTGCCGCTTCTCGTGAGATCATTCCCCCGGCCGCGTACGAGAGCGGCTATGGCAGCAGCAGCAACGGCCACCAGAACATCAGCGGCAACATGCGACGCCTGGTGAGTCATTCACGCCCATCAGGGCGATCGATTCAATTCGATTCGAGTCGATTCGATCAAATTGAGCGCTAACCACTGTGTTAATAGCTCTGAAACTTCTTATTCATCAGCTAAAGAAGAGGAAATATTGGCAAAAAATAAAGAGTTTAAAGGGAAACTATGATAGAATTTTAATATTAACTGTTAAAACAGATCCTTGGCAAATTTTACCAAAAAGTTTGAATACTTTGTAACAACTAAATGTAGGAATCAACAGCAAATGATTAATGGAATAATATTCACATCAATATTCACTAAGAATGGAGCAAATTTTCTTCTTTTTTCTATAATATAATATATAAATATACCCATTTCTACAGACTCCTTCTGACAAACGATTAGTGTGCTAATTAAATACAAGTTAAGAAGTAATTGCATTTAATATTTATTTTTTACTTTTACCCCTAAGAATTTCCAACCAACTGTAATAATTAAAACATTTTCCATCGCTCTGAAGTTAACTAATATCCTTTATATTTTTAGGAGCGGATCAAGGACGGAGACGATGAGCAGTTGCAGGGTCATGGCGCCCAATTGAAGAAGTCGCGCAGCATCGATGCCCCCTATGGCGATATGCGGACTCTGCACGAGCGGGAGAACATTTCCGGAATGGGCGGGGCCGGATCCTCCCATTACGCCCAAAACTCGCTGCCGCGCGCCAAGTCCGACTTTAATCTGGCCTTGGTAGGCACTGGCCCCAACTCAGGTAGGATTTTATTAATTTATTAAAAAAAATTCTTCCCTTTAAAAAGTAGTTTACATGCCATTCATTATTCTCTCAAACAAAAAGCCCAGAAAATGAATTTAATCAAATTATATTTGAAAAGTAGGTATCCATAATTAATTGTTATTGCAAATGTTTCTTTAATTTGCTTATTTTTAAACTATTTGTCACAGATATTTTTTACTCAAAGAGTTTTAAAGCAAACAATAATCATATTTATCACGCTTAGTTTTTGTTTAATAAATAAGAACGCGAAAAAGAGGAAACTTTTTAAATAAAACAAAAAAAATTCAAACAAATCCATTTATTGAAATTACTGTTTTATTAATTACTCCAGTTTCCTTAATTATTATTACAGAAAGAAAATATCCTTCCTTCCAAAGTTAGATCCAATTTTTTTCTATCTTTGCACATTTTCTAAGCATTATAAATATATTTTTGAACAAACAAAAAAAATATATCACTAAATAATACAGAAAAATAACCAAATATTTAAAAATAATAAGAATCTTTGAAATTGACGTTCAAAAGTATGGCATAAAACAGTTACAGAAACCAAAAATATTATAAACCGATTTCTGAATATAATAATAATAAAAGTAATAATTATAACAATAATCTAATTAATGATTTTTTAATCATTTTCAATAGGCAACAAACACAAGATCATCGAGGAGCAACTGGCGCCTTTGGGTGATGACCAACGCGGCGATCAGCGGCCACTGGTTAAGGCTCTCTACGCCTACATGCCCTCCGGGGAGAACCAGCTGTCCTTCGAGGAGGGCGACCGCATTGCCCTGGTGGGCGGCAAGGCCAAGGGCTGGCAGTTTGGCGAGAATCTAAGGACCCAGCACTTCGGCTGGTTCCCGGTGGCGTACACCAATGCAGAGTCCACCGAGGCATCGGCCTCAGGGGGACGGCGCTACGAGAATATGTTGATGAGCTATGAACGGAACGGAGGCGGATCGGGATCCGGTTCCGGCACAGGCGGCCTACGGAGCTACCAGCAACAGCAGCAGGACTACGAGGCCCAGCTGGAGCTGATGGAGAGCCACGAGGCCACGTATCGGCGACGACGCAACCACAGTGCCGAGGAGTCCTCGCCCACGCGAATGTTCGGTGACACTATCAAGCAGCAGAAGAAGTACCGTGCCGGCTCTGGAGCTAATCCGCGTCCAGGTCCGCCACCAACGCTGCCCGCCCCCGTGCCAGTGCCCAGTGGAGAGCAGAGCCAGTCCTCACGAATGCTGAACAGCTCCCAGAGTTTCTGTGCCACCAATGGAGGAGTCCCGTCGGCGGTGGAGAGGCGCAAGCAGAAGCTGTTGAACGGCGCCCAGGTAAAGACCACATTTCCATCGAATCCACAGAGGCCTTCATCTGAAGTTTTTGTTTCGCAGAGCCATCCTTCTGGCAAATCCGGAGTTGCTGCGAAAACCTCGCTGCATAGCAGCAACGACAGTGGATTCGCCAACGAACCACCGCCACAGCCGGAAGTGGATTACTCCGATGAGGATGCGGCCACACAGAGAGTACCCATACGGTAGGTGTAGTAGGAATAACCACGGCTTGAAGAGCAGGGATAAAGATTGAATCGGTTAGAAGAATAGATTTTTTTATATTAAAGAGTTATTCAGATGACACCGATAAAGTCCTTGCCCTTTAAGCCGAGTTGCAGCATCCCGCTTTTGCTCCTTAATTGTTGTGACTAATTCTAGCATTTACCATTGCCATTCGGGTTTTTCCTGATTCTTGCTTGATTTATAGTGCCATTATTTAATTAATTTATTTTCATTTGCTTTTTTTCGTTCTAATTTGATTTCATGTATCGCCATTTAAATGCTCTGTTGCCATCCTTTGTGTTAACCACCCAAAATCGCATCCCGAAAACACACACTCGAAACATACCGATACCACCACCACACAACCCAAAACACAAAACCGAATACTTCCTCGAATCCACAAAAACCAGACGACGAGCGGACACCAATTCGCATACCCACACGGTGCCCCGGGATGTGGCTTCGTGGACGTTGAACCGCAATTTCCGGAATAGCGTGGACAGCCAGATTGACGACAAGAGCCTTCACCGGCTGAGCCGACAAAGCGGAGCCGGCAAGATGCGCTACGACCTGATCGCCTCCGACGACGAGATCCTCCAGGCTTCCAGTGCCGGCTTGAAGCGCACAAAGTCCTTCTGGAAGTTCGGCGGCGGACGCAGTGGCGAGGATATCCTGGCCGGCATGTCGTTGTGGCAGCATCGCGATCTGGTCGCGGCTCCCAATCTCGAGGATATGCGAGACCGGGACGACTTGGAGCGGCGATCGGATGAAGAGCGCAACGGCACGCTGACCAAGTCCCACAACTCGAGCTCATCGCAGGAGAAGCAGGGAAGGGGGCGCAAGGACAGCCTGACCAGCACCGAGCCCTACGGAGATGAGGATGAGAACTTGTACGGCGTGAGCCCACAGCAACCACAGCAGCTGCAGCCGCAGAGGAGCAGCTATACGCCCAAGTCGCGCATGAAGATCATGAAAACCATCGAGATAGACATTGAGGAACCCACAGAGAGCGAGCGGATGAGCACCATGCGCCGTGGCCAGTCGCAGGAGCAACAGCAGATTCAGCAACAGCAGCAGCATCGGAAGCTGGACAAGCAGGCCTCGGCAGGAGCAGGATCGCAGCACAAGTCACAGACTCTGAGCCGCTCCAAGCCCACCCAGCATCAGCAACAGCAGCAGCAGCAGTTCCCTCAATCCACGGATGAGGGCGAGAGCGATGAGCACGGAACCCTGAAGCTGAGCGACGTGAACAACTTCTTCGACGAGGGCAAGGGTAAGGGCCATGGACATGGCCACGGGCTGGTCATGAAGACGGTGAAGCGACAGGATATACTCAAGCAGTACTACACTAGCGAGGACGATGAGGAGTCAGATGCGGAGCTGAAGTCAACCAGCTCAGACCCGTACGACTGCATAGTGATCAATGATCACCTGGTGCGCAAGGACGACAAGCTGCGGCGCCACCACCAGCAGCACCAGCAGATGGAGTTCCACACCTTCCGCTCCTCCACGTCCACCACGGCGACCAACACGCTGAAGAAGAGCTCCTCTAAGGAGCAGGACAGCACCCTGACCCGCAACTCAACCGCCAGCTCGGGCGCCCCAACGGCCACCATCCTGCCGCGCACCCGTCTCCTCAAGTCATCCGCCTCCTCCGGCAACAATATCAACAGCAGTGCCACCCTGGAACGGAACTCGAAGAGCATGGCTGGGAGCAAGAGCTACGGCCCGTGGTATGACTTTTGGGATCAGGAGCAGCACGGGATCACAGGCCAGAAATCATCGAGTGCCAAGCTGAAGTAAGAATCGGTACGAGTACAGGATGACAATGGAGTTTCGCCGTCTTCTTACCGGATAAGAAAATGAGCTGAGAGTGAGAGAGCGGGAAGTGGATGAGCTGCAGCGGAAAAACTGACAGTAAACCCATTACCTTATCCCAACCCCTTTCCTGTTGCCTTGTATTTTGTTTGTTAAACTTAAGCCAGAGTTACCCTGTAAAATGATAGCCTAAGTCAAGCTATGTTTCGTTTGTTCTATGTACATATCTTATATTAATTTTAAAGCATACCTAAATACCTGTGTGGGTACGTTAACAGGCGGCAATAGCAGAAGCTGGGCCGAATGTCAGAGGAAACTTCACAGAACAAGGACCTCCTCGAGCAGTTATACGCTCTCCATTGAGTTTCGGTGCCTGAACCCATATAATATACACAAATCATTAAATTTAATTTTGTTAAGAACTGAGCTTGCGCCCTATTTAATTTGTTTTCCAAGTCCCCGAGTAATGCGAATGCAATTTGATTTTTTAGCAGGCGCGGTATATACCGCAACTTTTCCATAGGTTACTGACCTGTAGCGATTCCGTGTCTCCCAGCTAGCCCCACCATATCCCTTATTAGATTGAGCTTCCCGCCGTAAGTAGAGGTGTCCCATCGAGGCAATTAGGAGCCACCGGGGCCGCACTTCTTATCCGGACGAGTCCTTGATCTTTTCCAGAGCCTCTCAGTTCGCCACCGTCAAGTTGCGGCACACCAAGACCAACGACCGATCGGCTCCGATGATCTATCGGAGCGTGAACAAGTAGCAACGACAGCAGCGGAAGGTGGAGTTCTCCCTGTGACCATTCGGTCACCAGAAGATGAGGAACCCAAAGCTCCAGCGACAACCATGCCACGACCCTTCACACTCTCCACATGACAAAATATTTTATATAGCGCCCCTATATATATACTTTATAGTAAAGACATTATCAGTTAGTACTTCCAGCAGCTGGTGGACCTGGATTTTGGTAGTCATTAAGTCGTACTGTTTGTTAAACATTCTGTTTTGTATGTACTTCTATGTTAAAGTTCGAAATGTATGTATATGCAAATAATAAATAATAATGAATAAAAGTTTTTTTCATTAAAACGAATACACTATTTCTCTGGGCTGCATGGAAATCGGGGGATATAGAAGGCATTAAATTAAATTAAGTCAGGGAATAGTCACTAATTAGCAAGAGATTGGCTTAATGACTTAATAAAGAATACATTTCTTTGTAAGCCAATTCCAAACGAATTTGAATTTCTTTATTAGATCCTTATAGCGAAAGTTTTTGATTGAATTGTCCGAATTGCAGATGTACTTAATAAGTGTCTACAAAAAAATTTTAAATGTATATTAATGTTTTTTTGTATTAATATTTTATTGGAAAATTGATGTGCATATATGTATTTGGCTATTGGAAGTCGAGTTGATCTTGCCATGTGCCTTGCAGTTATTCCTTTTAACTTTACTATCTCTAGTATATAAATAGAAACGAGACGGATTGGACTTTATCCTAAAGCTGCCATAGGAACAATCGCATAATTTTGAGAAAAAAAACGTATAACTTTTTCATTTTTCAACATATTTTCATCTATACATTTTCATCCATATTGGCGAAAAAGTAAATAGGTATGGTCATTGGTGCCATCATCTTCTTTCCTGTAAGGGACTCCAAACCATCCTTGCTGTCCAAGGGAGGCGCCAAGCAACAAATATTAATAATAATCCAAGCATCAAATAGTTAACGAGTTTTAAGTTTCAAAAGAGCCGGTTGTTAAAAAAGTATGACCGCAACATTTGCCCTACGAAATTGCCACAGAACTAATAAAAAGAGCGGTCACACCTCAAAAAGTTAAATTTTGGGAAACAGATTCATTCTTCCGTACTTAATTATTTAAAATTGATGACTTCTATGGGTTCTGTTATAGAACTTATATACCCTATAGTTCCTTATTTCTTAGCGACTAATTTATTTTTGTATTTTCCGGAACTAAGTTAATCCAAGATATTCTAGTAGACGCGTTAGTGTATTCCCACGTGTTGCCGGTCGGCTTGGTCCAAAAATAAACAAACCCAGTTGGAAGACTATTATTATTTACTCTTGACGGCACATGAGTTGGAACCGGCCATGAACGGATCCTGGAAGGTGGTGCTGCCCGTGGGCTTTGTGCTATACAGCCTTCCACTGTTTCTCCGCGTAAACAGCACCTCGGACTACGTAATCGACGAGGAGTTCCACATTCCGCAGGGCTTGGCCTTTTGTCGCAAGGAGTTTGATGTGGTATAGAAAAATCGGACCAGCAGATACTCACTTGATTATTGGCCGCTTTCTTCTTTTAGTGGGACCCGAAGATAACAACGTTCCCGGGCCTGTACCTCATCGCCCTCGTTCTCAGTCCCTTTAACTTGTGTACTGTTACGGGCCTGCGGCTGCTAAGCTTGGCAGGCGCCGGATTCAATATCCTTCTGCTATACAAGATCCGGCGGCGCGTTCTCTCCGGCTCCGGCGGCAACTCGTACGCAGCCCATGAAGCTATTACGCTGTCGGTGCTCCCGCCGCTCTACTTCTTTAGTCACCTGTACTATACGGACACCCTTTCGCTGACCATGGTGCTGCTCTTCTATAACTGCTGGCAGCAGGAGGCGCACCTGCCGGCGGCTGTCTTCGGGGCAGCCAGTGTACTTATGCGCCAGACGAACATAGTGTGGGTCTGCATGGCCACCGGTATAACCGTGCTGGACACGCTAGTCCAGCAATGTGTCCGCACTCGGGCCGTGCCCAAAGACAAAATTCGGCTCTTAGGAAAGGAGGTGGGCACTACCATAGGCGTTATTATTTTCCACTTTAAAGCAACTTTTACCTCCAGATGTGGCTGCAACTCTTTAGTAGCCCCCAACTGCTATGCAATTGCATCCTCAGCATCTTGGCAAAGTGCTGCTTCTACGCCTCGATTATTCTTCCCTTTGTTGGATTCCTCTGCATCAATGGATCCATTGTAGTCGGCGACAAGAGTGCTCACGAGGCCACCGTGCATCTGCCACAGCTTTTCTACTTCGCTATCTTTGCAGCTGGCTTTGGGATATCGAACACTATGCGCCAGTTCAGGCCGGCAGTGGACTTAATTCGGCGAAATCCAGTGAGCTCGGTCATGGCCTTGCTGGTGATCCTGCTAGTGGTGTATCTGAACACCGAGGTCCATCCCTATCTGCTGGCCGACAACAGGCATTACACATTCTATGTGTGGAGCCGACTGTACGGCCGATTTTGGTGGTTCCGCTACGCCATGGCTCCGGTTTACCTGCTATCGATCTGTGTGCTTTTCTGCGGACTGCGTCACTTGCCGGACAGTTTTAAGCTGATGTTTCCCCTTAGCCTGGTGCTTGTGCTCTGTTTCCAGCGGCTCCTAGAGCTGCGCTACTTTCTGGTGCCTTACATCCTCTTCCGGCTTAACACGCGGCACACGCGAAAGGGCCTCGCCGAGTGGCTTGAACTGGGCGCCCATCTGCTGCTCAATGTGGCCACCTTCTACGTATACTTCACAAAGGAGTTCTACTGGCAAAATTATCGCACTCCTCAGAGGATCATCTGGTAACTATAAACATTCCGCGTAAGCACAAAATAAAAACGTGTCGGCATTTTCAATATTGCTTTTAATTCGATGCATTGCTACTTGAGTGAGAAATCGCTCTACGTTTGTTGTTTTTGTTATAAAATTAGAGCAGAGTTCTATTGATATTAGATATTAAGGTGGTTAATTAATAAATGTAAAACCGTAAGGGTTCTGCGCTTGGATTTTTTGATGCCTAATTGAATTATTAGAATCCATTGAAATTGTACCAAAAATTAATTTTTGTGCACTATTTAAATGGATTTTAAGTACACATCGATTACTTCTGTGACACAACAGGCATTCCTCGCAATTCTTGGCCAGAAATTTAACCACCTTAATAGGCAAGTAAATATATGTTTAAAATGTGTTAATATAAATATGTAAAGACTTAGGCGCTAGAAAAATGGACTTCAATAGATAATACTGCCGATAAAATACAATGGATGTAAACACTTTGAGCATGCTGAGAGAGAACCTACACAATATATAAGTAAGGACAAGTAAATAATGCTGATCGCGCTGTTGTCAAAAAACTAGGCAAGAGATGCAATGCTACTGGCTAAATCTAAATTGCTAATTAAATGAGCACACTCTTGGAGCGAAGACCTTATAAGGGAGACCCTACATTAAAGTCTTTGCTTGGAGCCTTACAGTGCTGGCAAAATCGGGATTTCCGCTTGGCACACAACCCAACTGAAAAGCGTCGCCTAATCGAAGGCTACCTTGCGGGTGAACGAGGTCAGGGACGAGATTTCGCTGGGATTGGAATCGGATGGCAGGTGACTGAACTCGATTTCCTCACTGGCTGCAGAAGCTACAATGTTCTCATTGGACTGCGTGGTCTCGTCGCTGTGATGCATTGTCGGCCACTGCTTGTGGCTGGGGGCGTACAGGATGAGCAGGGCGAAGATGTAGATGTTCCACATGCCGTAGACGCCGGTCAAGAAGGCGGATGTCAGCTGGATTTCCACGCTGTCGTTCCACTGCCACTGTCCCTCGGCCATTTGGCCCATTATGAAACCGGCTACGGTTAGAGCGGCGCACAGCAAGGTGGCCAGCATCAGGAATTTGAATCGGTAGATGAGACCTTAAATTAAGGACATATTTAGTTTTCTCTAATCAGAACTATTTCTGGAGATGAATTTCCACAACAAAAAAAAAATAGTTTAAATGGACTCACCCTCATAATGAAGTCGTCGGGCCTGGGACATGGATGGCAGCGAGGTGCGTTTGTCACCAATGTTCCTAAACACTTTCCAGATCATATAGCACAAAAAGAGGAAGTAGATGGCCGCGGACACTCCAGCCAAAACGATGAAAGTCATGGCCACCTTAGCGCCAAGCGGCGTGGTCCAGATAGAGTAAAAGGGGTTGCGCAGCTGCACGCCTCTCTCGCAGATGTCGAAGACGAACAGGGAAATGCAGCCGACCACCACTGCTGAGAGGTGCTTCCAGTAACGCGATCGGATCGTGGATTTATTAGGCGCATCTTGGATCAGCATGTGCTCGCCGGCGAAGACCAGCCAGAAGGAGAGCAGCATGGCGTAGAAAATTCCCTGGCGGATGTCGCTCAGCAGCAGCATATAAGGCATCTCCACGGCTAGCGATAGGTACTCTAGCGGCAGGTTGAGGAAGGTCAGGGCACCTCCAAGATAGATTAGCATGTACTCCAGCAGCGCCGGCGAGCGCTGCAGCAGGTGGACGCGTCTCCAGAACCAGATCATGATGCCCACGACAAATGGGAACAGCAGCGTTTTCAGCATTAGCCAGATCTGGGTGAAGCCTCCGTTCTGATGGATCGCCGTCAGCGTGAGATCGTGCATGTGACCAAATTGCAAATTCATTTGCCGCGGCGTGTCGAGCGGAAAGCGCAAGTTCAACAGGTAGAAGCTGTGGTGCAGAGCGCCCAGCTCAAACAACGGGATCATGTCGCAGGAATATAGCGTCTCCGTGGACCCCACATGTTCGGTGACACAGTCCAGGTATCGGTGCTCCACTCCGTGCGCATACAACTTCCAAGCGTTGTCGGGGTCCCCTTTGTTACGGTAAGCTAGGCGGATGTCAATGGTCAACTGCAGTTCCCGTGGCGGCTCGCGCAGCTCCGACGAGGAGTCGTAGCCGAACTCCACCTGCAGCACACCGATAAGATTCTGCTGCCAGCGGGAGTAATCCAGGTCGCGTTGCTCGCGAGGCAGTGGCATCTGGAAAACGTGCACCAGCTCGTTGGCCATCTTCATGGGATCCTTCTCCACCTCCTCCCGCGTGACTGGAGTGCAAGCGCCAGCACCGCGAGAGTAGAGTAGGAAGCCGGTGTCATTCTGACGGGTGTGATCCTCGCGACACAGCGATCCCAGCACGGTCACATGGCCGGCCGGCAGGGGAGCGTAGAGGCCGCCCAGCAGGAAGCACAGCACTTGACACAGCAGCAGGCTGGCCACCAATATGGACAGCTTGCGGCCGCTCAGGTTCTCCAGTATGGTCCCCGACATCCTGTTCACTTCAGCGCGTGGAGTTGAGTTGCCTTGTCCCTAGTTCGTTGCCCTTCGTAGCCTTGCGTGGTTGGGTCCAATGTAAACAATTGTTGCACTTGTAAATAGAACTTCAAAAGCGCCGCCTCGGTTTTGTTTGAAAAAAAATTCTAAAATGGTCTGGGATTTTGCTAGTGATGTACAAAATGCAGATACTATCGCAAGACATAGGTACTATCGCATAATCTATTTTGTTTATTCTCCGCGCCAGAAACAGCGACATCTAGCGTCCGTCAGAGGAGGTTTTCTTGATTTTTATTCAAGGGAAACTAATTTAAAGTTTTAATGGAAATGATTAATATTATGAAAAATATAAAAATTAATAAATCGTCGTAAAAATATTATGCAGAAATATCCGACATCAAACAGCATGACTATGTGCGTGATACTGGAATATTCCGAGACCAGGAAAAATATACTAAAAGTGGAAACAGAATACACCGCTCTTCAGCCCTGGACCTTATCTATTTCCAATCCCGCTATATTGTTATTATATTCTTGTTGAATTAGTATTAATTAAAAACTATGCACCTTTATATCTCGGTTGAAAATGAACAAAAATGAAGCAGAATTACAAAAGTTAGAAAACTGAATCAAGTGAAATAAAGTCAGCCATAGTAAAACAAAACAGAAAAATGAAGAACTCGAAGAACATGTGTTGCTAATGTAGGTGGAAAACCTTTTTTGAATACACACGCAGCACTACTAAAAAAATTTCAAATCATTTTAACTAGGTGACAGGAAATGAGAAATGTAAATAATTTTATATTCGCTAGAGCTTTTCAAACTGTGCCGCAAGCCATATGAGCAATGTTGCCCCGCCAATATCACGCCCCCTCACAAACAGCTGTTCCGGATCGACAGCTGGCCAACAGCTGACCGGGAGACTTTGGACGAAATGCGACATTTCCAGGTGAGCCAATTCTAATGAGTTTAAGTAAATACATTTAACCTGAAAGTCCTCTGTCTTGCTACAGCCGGTGCGACGGCTGTTGAGCCTGGGGGGCTGGAGGAACCCGATTAGAAAACTCAGTGTTAAGAGTGAAGCACAGGCTCGGAAAAGTGGCCTTCCTCTGGTCCGGTTAGGGCTCCTTGCGGCCGGTGCAGGTGTCATTGGCTATGACGGGATCGTAAACGACTTCACATACTGCGGCGCCTCCGTCCGCTTTGTTCGCTCCCTGAAAACTGCCGGAATGATTGCCTTCGATTACCTGCAGCTTAAGGAGGACGATGCGGAGTATGCGGCGAAGATAAAGGCTATCCACCAGAAGAGCGCCGAACGCTTACTGGAGACGTGCCTGCTGAATGGCGGCTTATACATCAAGGTGGGCCAAGGATTCGCCGCCATTAACCACATTCTGCCCGTGGAGTACACCACCACGCTGTCAAAGCTGCAGGACCGTTGCCTGCCCACTTCCAAGGAAGACGTGGAGAAAGTATTCCGCAAGGACTTTGGCCAGCTGCCCGAGGAGATCTACAAGGAATTTGACTATAAGCCGGTGGCGGCCGCTAGCTTATCGCAGGTATTCAAAGGCAAGTTATCCAGCGGGGAGCAGGTGGCGATCAAGGTGCAGTACAACGATTTGCAGAAGCGCTTTATTAGCGACCTGGGCACCATCATCTTCCTGCAGGATATTGTCGAGTTCTTCTTCAAGGACTATAACTTTGGCTGGATCTTGAATGACCTGCGAAAGAATTTAGTTCTGGAGATGAACTTTGTGCAGGAGGGCCAGAACGCCGAGCGATGCGCCAGAGATATGCTAAAGTTTGACTTTGTCCACGTTCCCAAGGTCTACTGGGCGCATACCAAAACGGTAAGGACAGGGGATGGGGGATAGAACGATGCCTATGTATTTTGATCACTAGTATATGTAACTTGTTTCCGCATTTAGCGTGTGCTTACCCTCGAGTGGATAGACGGGTGCAAGATTAGCGATCTGGAGACAATTGCAGCACAAAAGCTCAGCCTGAAGGATATCGATGTTAAGCTTTTTGATACGTTCGCCGAACAGATCTTCCACACGGGCTTCGTGCACGCCGATCCTCATCCAGGAAACAGTACGTTACCATTTAATATTCGCGTTATCAAGCTAATACTCCATTTACTTTCAAGTCTTTGTGCGACGCAATAGTAGATCTGGACGAGCGGACATCATCCTTCTGGACCACGGCTTGTACGAAGAGCTGCCGGAAAATGTGCGTGGACCGCTCTGTGAGTTTTGGGAGGCCACCGTGCTACGCGATGAGGCAAAAATGCAATCGGCCGCCGAGAAGATCGGGATAACTGACTACATGCGCTTCGCCGAGGTGCTTTTTCAGCAGCCCATTCGGATTCGAGGAGGCCGCATCCGGGGAAAACTATCGCAGGAGGATATTGATCACATGCAAGAAATAGCTAGGAAGAACTTTGAGCATATTATGGGCACCCTCAAGGAGATGCCTAGGAGTATGCTGTTTGTGGTAAGTGTTCTGCCTGTGCCTGCTGTTGGATTGTTTTTTTCTAATTCAATTCATCAGGTGCGGAACCTTAACACCGTAAGAGGGATAAGCCACCAGCACGGAGACGTAGTGAATCGACCCCAAGTCATGGCCCGGTATGCCCAAAAGTGTGTCTATATGGATCAGAGTCGTAGTTCGCCGCTGCAGTACATCCGATGGCTGAGTCGTCGCATCTACTTCGAGTACTGCCTGTTTTTGTCCGCTTTCAAGCTGCGTGTTCTGGATTGGTATTTTAACGTTCTTTACCTAGTGGGTCGGGCTCCGGCCTCGGCCAGGACCGTAATGCGCGATATGATGACACCACCGACCGACACGGCTATGCTAAGATGATTCCCTGAGTCACCAGTCTTTTATACCTCTAAATCATAAGTAGTAATATGGGTTTTTATAGGAAAATTGTTGCATTCAAATATTCCACGTACTCAATCAAAATATCTTTTTTATAGAGGCTAATATTGAATTTGATTGAGAAGCTGTTGTAAAGTAATAAAATATATATTTTAACATTTGGTGGTCCTTGGTTTAGGTAGTGGAAACATTTTTAAAATATTTGTATTTTAGGTATATGTCACATGCATAAGAATAAGGTTAAATGGAAATACACTAAAAAAGTACTTGAACAGTGATTAAGCTAGAGGGAATGATCCCTCCCCAATTCCCATAGAATGTGGTATTAAGTTCAAGTGTGCATGCCACGTCTGGAGCTTTAATAAAATTGCAGGTGACTTGCCCAAGGTTATAACCAGCCAGACAGCCAATCAGCCAGTTATTGGGCCACTTTCACTTCCATTTAGGCCCTCCCAAAAATTCAACAAATCAATCGGGGAGCATGAAACACGAGTGCTGTCTAAATTAAAAAAAAAAATACCCTGAGCAATACTGCGGTGGCCTCTGGAATGTCATTCCTGGTGTATCATTGGAATATTAACACCCAGTAATACACACACGAAGGCGTTGGTAAGTACAGCTGTTCCTGCCCCGAAATAGGCACAAATGGGCGTCAACTACATATTTCCGGTTGTGTGGAGCCCCCTGACAGGCTCCAACATGCCAGATTCCACCTATGAGCTTATGACCAAGCCCATATCCCTTTACCCTATCCTCTGGCCTCTCCACCAGCACCCATCTCGCCAGCCCGCCGTCACACTTTCACTTCTTGTGCCACATACATCGAGTTTCGTGTGCCGCACACAGAACTAAATTCAATTCAATTTCATTTAAAGTTACTTTCGCTGACTGACAGACAGCGAGCGACCCTCTCAGCCTAAGCCCGAGGCCTAAGCACAGTGGGACGCAATATGGGAGGTCCTTTTAGCAGTTAGTTTTAGTTTTAGTTCTACAATCTAGCAAAGGTGTAGAAAGATTATATATTTTACTCCATATTACCCTACATTAATTGTAATATTCGATGGTTAAGGATGTTTTACATTAGGATATCGTTATATAGGCTTTTTTATTTTATCCAGGTTCCTTTTACCTTCGGATTATACTTTTTAGTTTACACGCTCCAATGTCCTTTAGTGCCAACTGCCTGGCTTCTGCTTAGTTGCGCATACGCCCCGTGCGCCCACGGCTAAATATGAAATTAAAAATCCATGCTGAAGTGTGAAATGCCTTCGAGCTGGCTGACTGGAATGGCGGCTGTCTGTCGCCCCCTCTACCTCCGATCCCGGCTGAAGCTCAAGCTAGAGCGCGGAACCGTGCTCGTCGAGAAATCATTCGCCGACGAGTCGCAGAGTGGAGCAAAGGTGCCTAGCGGAAACGGAGCTCAGTGCCTAATTAGAAAAAATGAACAAAGAGTTCATCACGCAGGGCGGCACTCCCATAACCGCCGACTTGGCAACGGTAAATAGAAGATCTCAGTACGTCCAGTACGGGGCCATCGCGATCCAATCCCGCACTTTTTGCTTTCGTTTAGGATCTGCGCAATCTGGTTTTCGGCACCGCCGCCATTCCCATGCGTGCTGAATGGCTGCAAACATCCTTTGTCTTCGGAGCACCCAAGGAGGAGCTGGCCTACGGCCTCCGTTCGCCCCGGAATGCCACGCGAGGTCTGTTGTCTGTCGTCCAAGGATTCGTTCTCAAGTATTTGCTTTTCGCCCGGAAGACTACCCGCGCCGCTTCCCTCACCGAGTGCGTTTCCTGTTTCGGTTTTCGAAACCTTCCGGTTTCATTTGTGGTCTAATTAAGTCCGAGTGTGTGAGAGCAAGTGTGTGTTTTTCAATTTCAGTCCACTCCTGGCCACCGCGGAGATGCAGCGCGAGGCTCTCTTCTGTGCGCTGTTGGAGATCCTGCGCACCATCTCGGACAAGGGCAAGGTCACTATGGTGCTTCCGTCCGAGGACGAGGTTTTCGTGGACCACAGTGCTTGCTATTTTCACGATTCCGTCACCGAAAAGGTAAGTGTGCTGCCATTACATAATGGGAAAACTATCTAAAACTTTCGAAACTAAAAACTGTAAAAAAACCCCTTCTAGTATAACTAATAACATAGGTCTAAAGAAATATTTCCTCTATTTTAAAGTTAAAATCATTATTATTGTTACAAATAATTTATATGTAATAATTTGCAGCTTTATGTTTTCACCCTTTCACCCAATGAGGAGCTCGAATACTTTATGAAGCGAAATTTTAATTACGTAAGACCCAGAATATCCAAATTTTAGTTGTATAGCTAATTAAGAAAAGAGTTTGCATTCAATCTGCCTTAAAGTTCACAGAGGAGGAGACCCCGGGCACCCTGCTGTTCCTATACAGCGCCGTCCTCACGAGATCCATGGGAAAGTAAGATTTAAGCCAAGTGTCTGTGTATGCGAAGGCATTTCGTATTTCAAAACATATTTTTATTAACCATTTACGTTTACCATTGGCCGGTGAATACTTTCAAATGCTTTGCAGAGTTCGCACCGACCTGGACTGCTCCAAGTCCTCGCCCCTGACGTCGAGTAACCACGAAGAGGGATCCCTGATGATCGTCACCCTGCTGCTGACGGGACGTGCCACGCCCTACATTCACAACGGAGTCGTCAATGTGGGCGATGAAAGTAGCTATGTGGGTGAAATAGAAGAAGGGAATGCTGGGTCAGTAAGATCCGTCGATGGCAATGGGGTCTGTTTTGTGTTTCCAGGCGGTTCCACAGTATGGAGTTCTTAAGCGTTGCATGATTGGTCTCTTGCTCTGGGACATTGAATCCGCCAGTGTAAGTTATTTAACACTTTAGATTTTAAGAGTTATTTTTCTATCTAATCAAGAAAAATGTTATAAATATCTTCCTATCTATGAACAGGCTGCAGTGAATCAATCTCGCCAACCGGGCTCCCGGCTAAAGACGCCCAACTATCCCATCTGGATAACGAGCTGCACGGGTCACTACGGCGTCATCTTCAACAAGAACCCGGATCTGCTGCGCAACTACCACGCCGAGTCGCGCTTCGATGTCAACTACTACAGCTGTTCCGGCCACCAAATCCTGATGACGATCGACAATCGCACGTACAACGAGCAGGCATTGGTCATGTTGGAGCGGCAACCAATCACGCCGGAGAGTACCTCGATGTCCGGCAAGCCGGCCGGCAAGGAGGCGGAGGCGGTGACGACGCCGTCTGCTGGCTCCGGAGGAGGTGCTGCTGCCGGCGGCGGTGTGGGTGGCGCCAGCGGCGGTGTTGGTGGTGCTGCTAGTGGCGCTAGCGGTGGTAACGATGTGGTCGCCAAGGAGGAGTCAACGCTCAACACGCCGTTGCAGCGTCTGATTCGTACCAAGTGGGAAGAGGCAACTATAAGCTTTCACGTGCAGCCATCGATGTTGAGTTATCTTTTTAGTACCACGCAGTAGAATGCAGGGAATGCAGGATTTATAAGGAACAATAAGGTTCCCTTGCTCAAGTTAGACCGATACATATCCAAGTTCAAGAGATATGATTCATGATTTATTTATTCTTTAACATGTTATTTTATATTTTCAATCTTTGATGGGCTATGAAGACATGTTTATAACGTATTCTGTTGAAGATCAGAAAGGTGAACTTTAGTTATTTGTATGTATAATGAAAAACAAACTTGAGTTATATTTTTAAAAGTCTTGAAAGATGTTTAAATGTTGATGAGTAACTAAGAACTTCAGATTGATTCGAATATTAGTAACTTAGATATGATTTTATATAGAAATTGAATCCATTATTCTTGTTAAACATTGGTTAGACATTCTCGAAGGCGTTGATTTACTTGTAGTTAGTTTCTGTTAACTCATTTAAGCATGTAAGCTTGTTATGTTGTCTCTTGATCAATGATATAAATCGACTTTCTTGGCGAATGACCAATGCAACAAACAAAATTAACTGCTATGGATATAGACAACTCTTACTCGCATCGGAATCAAGTAAGTTTCAACAGCTAGAAGCAAAGAATTCCAAGTTCAGATCAATATTTTCTCCTCAAACACTCTTAAAGTAACTCTTAAATATATAGAAACTCAATGTCCAACTAAAATATTAAATCTTAAGTAGCGATTATTGGTAAATGAATTCCTTCAGTTGAAAGAGATAGGAGTTAAAAAAAAAACGAGAATGTCTTTACCCAGTTATACATAAATACTTACCAGATTAGTGCCATTTAATGTAAGCTTACTAGATAATGCACCAGTTAGTATATATTTTAGTGAGCACCGCCGTAATAGAATTCTACTGTTGCTGTCCAACCGATGGAAACTCCGTGTGGGTATTGTAAAAAGATACAAGTGGTTGAAAATCAAGACATCGAACCGAAACAGCGATGGTAAATACACGTAAAATATTCCAAGTATCTGATCTAAAGCGCACGAGCTAGGGCAGAATTCTGAAAGGTTGTAACAACACCTTCACAAATCTGCCGGGATTGAGGCCTCTCTTTACGGGACGAGCGACTGCAGGACTCTAAGCCAGTTGATTGATGCTGCCGCCTGGAGCCACTAGACGATATGATCATTGTCAGACCTTGTGTAGATCACCAACAAGCTTCGATTACTCAAACCGCACTCAACTTTCGATTTTTTTCGATTATATTCCCAATAAACGACTCTGTAATACCTTACCGAATCCAGAACAGTTGACTTTCTGTGGGCGGAATAAGGACTCTCGAGTTATTTTGAAAATTGTTAAGAAATGTTTATCAATTTATTGAAAGGTATTTGTAGTTTGTTGAAAAATGATTGAAGTTCCTTGCTACAAGTCCCGTCAGGTTTAAACATTGTATGTTGTAATTTACTTAAATAAGAGAATAGTTGTAGACGTATTTCTGTATTGTTAATATTCATTGAAACGTTTCGAGTTATTCTGGAAAAGGTTTAAGTTGATTTTCGTAGGAATCCAGCCCAGATTCTGTTGTTATTCAAATATTTGTTGTAAGATTTTGTAAGTACCTAACTAATGGCTTTGCGGCTTATTCCGTATGCTTTATATTCCATATTCAATTGTATAAATTGTATAAATTTCGTAATACCATTTGTCATTCCCTCCCTGCGATCCTGCCTTGCTTTAGCGGGACGTGTAAAAATTTGGTTACAATATTTTAGGTGATTATTATTTACATGTAGGCGACTTCAGTGCAGTTCAAAACTTGAATATAAATTTACTCATTAACCTATCCTAGCGTACTTAGGCATAATTTGAAAAGGTGTGGCCTTGGAAACCCGTTTCCGAAATTACACGTACATATGTGGATCTTAGCCATATAGAGAGTTCTCGTTCAACGAAAATCGTACGGCTTGCCGTAACATTGATTTAGCCAAATCCTTTTGAGCCATCCAGTTCCATTAGTCGGAGCCATTACATTGTTTAAACTGTGTCCCCTGTCGTCGTCGTCGTCGATGGCGTGCAATACCCGTCCATCACGCGATTTGGATTCCCAGCAGGGAAAGGGGCCCGTCGACTTGCATATCTGTGCCACATCCATATGTCGGCTTGAATTATTGAAGCGTTGGCGCCGGCTCGCAATTCGGGGAAATACGTTTTCGTTGACACCTTGCCCTAATTGATTGTTGATGTGACTCAGGCCTTGACCTCGCCTGAGTTGCAGGTCCTGGCCCTGGCCGGTGATGGCAAGTGGAGTCCTCCCAGGGGAATGTAGAATGCAGAACGTGAGGGGAGCTTTCTTTGGTCTCTAGGAACATCTTATCCAATTCGTTGCCGGAGCTCACTTTTGCGGCTGAGAAATCCGTTTTAACTTAGGCATTAACAAACTTAATGCATTGCGATTATGTACAAACTAGTCGAGGACGTTGCGATATGATACAATACGTTGCTTAGGTGTGATTGTGGCACGATTACGTGTATGGGGTCAAACAAGCCTATAGTGCGCGTAATTGCAATTATCGTAGAAGATTGTGCGCTTAGAGCCTAACTACTCGTATGATTAGCGTAATAATGTACACCGACTACCGCTGATCTGATCAAATCTGATTGGTTGCTCCGTCTGCCCCGGGCTGTACCTGTACAACCCGTCCGAGCCACGGTCAAGATGTGGATGGGCCTCCTCCTCTCCAGAGGTCAAGACCCTCCCCCGACTAAGCCTAACTAGCTTTAGCTAACTACTGACAGTAACCCTATGGGCGCACCAGCAGCTTGTCTATGTGCTCCAGGTTGGTGTTCTTGTACCTCGTCCTGTTCAGCGCCTGCGCCGGCGCGTTCTTCTTGGTCTGTGTATGCCACGTGAGAATCTGCGGATGGGATGGTAATTTTACTAGGATCCTCTATGTGACTTAGAGCGCATCACTCACATCTCGGCATTCATCGGCCAGCAGCTCAATGTCCGTGTTGTCCAGCGGCGCCAGGCTGCGCAGGAAGCCATCCTCCTCGTAGCCCGGCTTGAAGGGCATCTGGGCATTGGGACGCTCCTTCAGGAACTTGACACTGACTGCAAAACCGGCCATGTCCACAGGATACTTGCGCCCCCCAATCCATCCGTCATAGTAGCCCACCAGTTTTCCCTCCTGGATTATTGGGCTGCTAACTCCGGTCTTGGTCACCAACCCCACTGGCCACATGCCCACCTTGTTGATATAGCGCATCTGGACAAACGGAAGATTAACAAGCAATTTGTGGGTTAGTAAGTCTCAAAGAAGGGTGTGTCTCTACATAAAACATAACTGAATTATTCGATATTTTGCGACATTACAAAAACATAATAAATTCCAACTCGATTGAGAAAAAATGGGTTTATGCTTGAGAAGAGCTTGTTGGTAGTCGCACTCCTGCGGTTGCCGCTGCCATCAGGATTCAGGTACTCCCTTAACCCATATAGTATGTAAGTAGTCGATCCTACCTGCTCGAATATGCTAATGTCGTAGGTGTTGTCGTCGTCGGCAAAGTAGAGCACGCCCTCGTTGGCGTGGTGGCGGAGATACTCCAGGCCTCGATTCCTATTGGAGACGCCGCGCGGCTTCGCTCGCTTCGTCTGCTTGTATTTCTCCGGCATGGGAGCTGCGGATAAGAGAGGGGGCGCCTCGTAAATATCACTTGAATGTGTCCCGGACATGACACGGAACGGAATGGAGAGCAACGGACAATACTTACCCACCATGTACTCGTAGGGCACTCCGATCCGGTCCAGGGTGTGGGCCACCAATGGATTCGTGTGGTTGGCGTCCTCGATGACCAGCCAGAGCAGATTCACCACGTGCTTGAGCGTGTAGCCCAGCCGGGTCAGCTCCGCCAGTTGCTCGGGTCGTCGGTAGGTGGGCGTGATTATGTACAGGGGCGGCTGCGGGACAAGTGGATTTCGGTTGAGTGTCATTGGAATATCTACCTGAGTGTGCCGCGTGTACCAAGGGCCGTGTGCCCTGTGCACTTGTGCCTGTTAGTGGGAGGGAGGTCGTGGGATTGGGTGACTGATGGGTGGCTCGTTAGGTGCCAGTGGGTGGTGCGTAATGCGGCGTGAGCTTCTTTTTATGAGCAATTATGCAAATTAATTTACAACCCAATGGCTTGACTAGGCGAGCAGACCACATCCGCCTCCCCACATTGCCGTAAGTCAGTGTGTCTGTCGTCTAGCTAGGCTCTTCTGGCTTTATGGCAATATGGGTCGCGTTTCGCTGGTCGAAGACACTCAGGGAAAAATGTTCAAAGATTTTTGTTCAAATCTGATCCTGTCTTTCCCTACGTTCTCTATATCATTTAAATAAATTAGAGATTCAAAATCAAAGTAAAAGATTCTCAAAAAGAAGCAATTCCTTTGATCGGTAAACAATACAAGGAAAATGGAAAACAAATATACAAATCGATAAAAATATATGGAATATAGTAGAACATTTTTTCAAGTGCTTTCACCAACACAATTGCCTTAAGCACCCATTCCAGATATAGGCTATGTTCGTGTAAACCGTGTCCCATTGAACGACTGACGTTGAAAATAAATAAACTGGCGCACTCACTTTGCAAATTGTCCATTGTTGACACACAAACATACTCCCACAGCCCACACCCACCACATGCAAGGCGAAGGAAAATAAAACCAGCTTTCAAACTTAGTTGAATATTAAAGTAAGGAAAGATAGGATAGACATGCTAGTCTCCTTCTAAATTAGTTAAAGTTATATTCAAAAAAGTTATTAATCCTTTTTCTAATAGCTTCAGTACAAATGTATAGTGATTGCAAAATATAGCACTGACCAAGTTATACTTTACTTTGATAATCAATTTCAAAAATAAAATGCCACTGGTAACATGTTTTTTAGCAAACTTAAACGTTTTTTAATTTATATAATAAATTATACTTAGTCTGTCAGTTTTCAGAGGACTTAAGAGATTACTACAGGTTTGGAATTCCGTGAAAAGGTGACTAAAAGATTGCATTATAATTTGTAAGGTATTCTGTGTACAATTTTTAAAGAAATATTTTATAGCATAGTTTTTGAAACCTTTTTAACAATGAGAGAAGAAGCAACGTTTGAAATTTCAAGCCCAACTTTCTATAAATATAATTTGGTACAACACTTTGTGTGATTTGAAAGTCAAAAGTGTAAGATGCTCAATATTTTTTGTGTACATTATCCGTTTGGCGATGTGCTCCACCTCTGACATTGAGTAGTGCAGGGCACTAAATCGCAGCTAGAAAATAGTTGCAACTACTAAATGATAGAACCCAACAGAGGCGCGTGAATCTTTTCAATTGGCTGGCAGTTTGTGTTTTGGATGAATCTGGAATCTGGAATCTAGATCACAACCACCCATTCTGCGGTCGCCGCTTTCAATGCTAGTAATTTTCCTATATATTTTAGTGGCCGCTGAATGCGGTTTCGGCTCTTGCACTCTGCGTGTGTGTGCGGCTGAGCAATTTTCAAATTAGGCTCATGCAAATGGCAAAACGAGACTCTTTTTGTTTGCAGCGGCGGCACGCCCGCAGTTAGGGCGCCTGTTGGTTAATATAATAATGCATGTGATTAACCCAGAAATCGTGATACGGATAGCCGGCGACCAATTTGCACATGGTGGCCAACAAAAGTTGGTTAGACAAACAGCGTCCCTTTTGCAATGTTTGCTTTGCTTAGCTTTGCGTTTCGGAGTCGGTTTGTAATATATTCCCATTTGGAAGTTTAATGCGACCATAATTAACGTCCGAGTGGCAAAGTTGGTCTGGCAAATGTAGAACACATTTATCAACTAGTTCTGGTCTAGATTCTGGTTAGTTTAAATAATAATCATTGCAAAAAGATGTACTTCATTATGTGTTTTGGTCAGAATAGGATAGTTATGAATACCTTGAAGAGTAAAGTTATCTAAATGACTGCATATGTTTATACCTTTTAACGATGAAAGCCGTTAGCTATCTTTATTCAAAAACAAGTCTACAGACGTGACTCCAATTTAAAGGAAGTTAAGTAAGTACTAGAAAACTATATAATAATAAAAGAATATTAAATATTAACACCCAGAAACTCTACTACCTCCCGCCACTTAATGTTCGGCGCAATATTAACTGGCATGCATCGCAGTTGTGCCATGGTAATTAGGAAAATGGGAATGCCGAGTAAGAAAAGCGATAACGATGAGCCAGCAGCAGTTCGCAATGAGTATGAAGTATTAAAACTAATGAAGTATTGAGGAAGGCAACAAGTGTGACATTCGGTTCACCAATAGTGACAAGCAGCCCCCACAAACATTCGACATTCAACACACAACACTTGGTACTTGACATGCACACGACAAGTGAAAATAATATGCAGATAAGCTCAAAATGCACTTCCGAAGATTAAAACAGAATAAGGGAAATGGGGAAAAATAAAGGGTTTTTACACACAAGTGTGTTTAGTTGTGGTACTTGAAAACTAAAACTCACTGATCAAAAAATAGGAATGTAAACTCAACAAAGGGTTTTGGAAAATTCAAACATAAGTTTTCTTTTGCTTCTGGGATTTTTCTACTCAAAAATTGTTAAAATATTTTAATTGAATTATTGACATTTCTGCAACACTAATTTTGAATTTTTAGTAATTCATTCTGGCTACTTATTTTTGCCCAGTGTATTGTAGGTGAGCGGTAAGGTGGAGGTGCTTGGCTAGGATTACGATTACGTCAATATATTTACGGGCTTGGAGGCGGCAACGAATGTTGGTCGAGTCTTGTGGGCGTGTTCCGAGAGGGCGGTCGCGGGGGGCGTGGCCGTCTGTGCTGACTCTTTGGCTGTTGTTTTGGCCATAGTTGTTGCCTTTGTTGTTGTTAGTTTAGTTGCTGTTCGCGTAATGCTTTGTTTGGTAGTTGCAGTCTTACGATGGCCACCCACAGATCCTGATCTCAGTTGCGCCGTTCCCAAGGATGTGTGAAGTGTGGGCCTGGCGGCAGCTAATGAAACCGTTTGAAGGGATGAGGATGAACCCACTTTTTCGCCCGCACTGCCCACTGTGGCAGATGTGGTTCTTGTTGTTGTTGTGGTTGTTGTAGTGGCTGTCGTTGATGTTGTTGTGGTTGTTGGTGTGGAATTGGAATTGTTGTTGAAGGAGCTATTGGCCAGTAGCAGGGAAATGGGTGACCACAAATATGAGGCGATATATGACGATGATTTTTCTTGGTGCTATCGAGTCGAGTTCAGTTGGCAATGATTGGATTAAGTATTAGGTTAAAGGAAATAGAACAAGAACACACAGAAAACATTACAACACTATGTAATACAAAAATCTAAGGTTAGTAGACAAGTCAGGCAGGTTGGTTTGCATTTACTATCAACCCCAACAAAGAAGTATCTTTAGTTTATTTTACTTTTAAGCACGTTTAACTCAAATCTAAATTAAGTACCCAGATTTGGCCTAATTCCGTGCTTCCATACGGTAGTAGTGCTATCTATTTCTCAGTGCAAACAAACAAAAAACAAAAGAGAAAAGAAGAAATGTTTTTCAGAACACGTAAAGTTTCCTGTTTCGCACGATGTTATGTTTGGGTTTTCCCAATACGGCGTTCTGTGGTTATCTGCGTTTGTTAAAAGTTCAAATTACTTGTACCTACTTTTTACCAAATCAAATTTGAGTTACGACGAGTGCACCTATTTTGAGTTTTCTGGTTTAACACAGTTTAAATTTAGATTTCAAACAACGTATTTTGGTATCTATCTAAGTTGGTTAGAAATCCCAGACATTTATCAAAATTTAAATGAGTGAAAACCCTACTTTTGCACATTTACTAATTAAAAACAACAGATAGCATTAATTTATCTTTGGTGGGTAAAGTCCCATTTTAAAAATTCCATTCATTATTAATTCTTCTATCAACCGTGACAGATAAGTATTTGTTTATTGACCGACTGGATTATATGTATTACCCGATTACCATGACACTTTAATAATGGTTGGTATAACATATACATATATGGAGGCTAAATGTAAATGTAATTTGTAAATATGAAGATAAAGGGAGTGCGCTTATTTAAATGAAGCTATTTATTGCTCACTTAATTAATTAAGAAACTCTATCTAATTGGACGATCTTACAATGGTGAAGGAACACAAAGTGGTTGAGAATAAAATGTAATTTATTTCTTATCACTTGAAAGAGAAAAAAGTTGGATCAAAATATAAAGTAGGTTGGAATTAATGGTATTTTTATTATATTTAATACAGCACAAACAAAAGTAAATGAGTAAATAAATTAGTCTTTTAAGTAAGTAAATTTCCTAGCTCAATCTGGCATTGCAAAGAAATTATTTATAAACCTATAGATAGTATTCATATTAAATTGTCATTAACAACTTCTTTGAAGGTATAATAACCCCTTCCACAATTAATAAAAGGGACAAAGATTGGGCTATTGCTCACTCACCTTGACAACCTCGCCGGCGGCGAAGGGTTCCCGTGATATGTGGTACTGGTAGAGCACCATGTAGATGCAGGTGGTGGCTATGAAAATGGTCAGGTACATTTTGATGGACTTGCCCAGCGACATCTTGCTGCCGATGCTGTTGCTCCCGCCGCTCCCATTGCCACCGGTGCCGAGACTGATGTAGTTCACCTTCATTCTATTCGCAGGATCTTGGAATGCCTTCTTGAATTGCTTTTATTCCTGCTGCAGTTGCACCTGCAATTTCCGCTGCTTCTGCGGATTTCTTGGGGTTTCTGGTATTTTAATTTCATTCGTTATTTTATTCCACGCCGGGCTTCCTCCGCGACTTGCTGTGTTTGCTTCGCGAGCGTTTTACTGATTTTGCGGTTTTGACTTATTCATTTTTTTCATCACTCCGTTTCCCTCGATTTCTGATTTCTGCTTTCACGCAGAGCGGACCGGAAGGGGAGGGACGGAGGCGGAGGCGGAGGCGAAGGGGCGGGGCCAGGGCGGGACGGACGACAATGGGGCGTTCGGACTGCTACGCAACTAGCTCTGAAATGGTATATAAATATATATACTTATTATGTTTTTTATCATACTTGCTGCCCCTATGCGTCCATATGCGTTATATGTACATATATTTATATATATTATATACTCATATGTGAAACTGGACTTTGCGATATCAGCTTGGTGAGTTCATTTTATTTCACATTTCATTGATAGTGCTTACATTTCACAGAGCTATTCGTAGCGTTGGAAACCTGGGGAAGAAATAAGAAAACAAATAAGAAATTATTATTATTTTAAATGGAATTACGCAAACAATAAATAATTCCATTAAATTTTATTATATATAATACTAGCTGTACCCTGCCACGTTTCTCTGTGGCATATTGTAGTTAAGAGGGCACTTCTGAATACATCAATGTTCCGGCAAAATCATCTTCCTGGCATAAGGTGAAGAAGGCAGTCAGAGTTGTCGCTGGCGGATTCAGGACTCTTTCTTGCACATTTCTTTCTGTGAAATAGATACGTTGACCATTCTTCAAATTGACTGCCAAGAGAACTAAAGCTGGATAGCGTTCATGAATGGGGAACGAACAAATTCTCCATGCAACCTCGTTGCTGCTTTTGTATCTTCCAGCCTGGTATTGAGATATTTCATCGACAACTCGTACTGCATTGCTGTCCCCATTTTCTGCCTGAACACCAAAAACTGCCATATCGCTGCCTTTATTCACGTACTTGCAGATATATTTAATCGATTTCACGGAATTGCAATATTCTACGTTGATGTGCGCTTTGTATGATTTTGACAATAGTGTTGAGTATGGAACCACCCAACGATTGTCTACCTCAATATCACCAATTCTCATGTTTAAAGTTGCCGAAGTCCCTCCATCTTCAGTTGACCGTCTCCTATACAGAGGATATCCATCGTCCCCTGTTACGGTGTTGGCTGTAAATGCTCGAGGATATCGCTTGGAACACTTCCCGTCTACCATGCATGGTGAACTTCGGTTGAGGGTACCACATGGGCCATGGATCATGTTCTTGATGACAACTGCATGCAAATCTGTATCAACCTCTGCCCGTGGAATCTCAGCGCATATCACATTGTCAATTTCGTCTGGAGTAATTTTATCATACAGCCAAATCAGTATGTGCGCATGCGGCAATCCTCTCTTCTGCCATTCTACTGAATACATCCAGCACCGCTCAGATCGCAAAACTCCATGTTTCACAATGAAATCCATCAGTGACTTGAGCTTTTGTCTAAAAACACGGGCTGTGATGTTATGCCTATCCCTATATGATTGTCCAGGAAATAACAGCTGAACTATCTCGTCCCAAGCTGGATTGCATGTGAAGGTGATAAATAAGTCTGGACGGCCGTAGCAACGAACATATGCCTGGGCATCTTGAGCATATTCATGCATGTGGCTCGGACTACCTATGTATGAGGATGGCAAAATCGTGAGCTTTCCAACGTTGGTTGTATTACGGTCATTCATCACAGCATCCCGCAAATGGATATATTCCTCGGACCGAAGTTTCTTCTGATTCAATCGGAGGAACAGCAAACGTTGTTTCAATTTTTGCATACATATCGACAATGTACTGATGAAACAACTGACGACATTTCAATATATGATTGCAATCGGTCCTCCGAACCATTAACCTGTATGAGTAAAAGTTCATCGCGCAGCCGCGTCTCTCGGATGGAGGCCCGTTCTTCGTCAGTCATATTCGTAATCTTACGTCTTTTTGCTTCTGTATTGCGAATACGACGACCCAATCTCGACTTCTTTGGTGGCATGACTTCGTTTCTTACTGAACCTGAACAAAAAATAAAATTTGTATCTCCAATTTCTTCTTTCAATATGTTTTTAATGTTTGACAGGAAATGCTTTGATTTGCTTGTAGAGGGCGCAGTAGTAGGGGCACGGGGAAACGCTAAAAAAATAGATATATTCGCAACCGCAGATAAGCTATCAACATCAAAAGTAGTCAATAACCGAGCTGGAACCTCAACGCATGTTCTCTAAAAATTTGGGCATAAACGGTTCAGAACTTTTCAAGTTTCTTCTTTCAATATGTTTTGAATGTTTGACAGGAAATGCTTTGATTCAGCTGGCTGCCTGTAGATGGCGCAGCAGTAGGGGCACTTGGAAACGCTAAAAAAATAGATATATTCGCCACCGCAGATAAGCTATCAACATCAAAAGTAGTCAATAACCGAGCTGGAACCTCAACGCATGTTGTGTAAAAATTTGGGCTTAAACGGTTCAGAACTTTTCGAGTCTATGAAGGATGTAGACACGAACAGAGCATTTTTATATATATAGATATGTTTGCATTTTATATTCATTTCCTTATACAAAATATGTAGAATCTGACTATTAAAGTCGAAATTTGTTCTTTCTTGAGACTTCTGCAATCACTTACGTCTGGGGGCAAAATGTTTGCAAAAATTTCCAGAGCATTGACATTTATTGGTTACTGGTTTCGCTATCTTCATGTCCCGAATTTCGTTTCAGCTTAAATACAAAATGTTCTTCATGTTGCTAAATCACAGAATGACAACAGAAATACACTCAACAAAATTAATTGCATGGACTAGAATTTATAAGACAATATAAATTGTTTTTAAAATATAAACCTTAGTATTCTCTTAAGCAAGAATTTGTTGATAAAGTTATTCAGATAGCATTAAAGAGAAAATTTTCTAATAATAATGTGAGGCCTATTCACCGTTTCTGTGAATTAAGCATATCTAATTTATAAATTTTTGCAAATTATTATTTTCATGAATCAAAATATTTTTATAAAATTTACCCATATTGTTGCATAGAATGTAAAAATTACTGACTGTGAGACAAAATAAATCGATTTGAGAACTTTTCTACCGAAAGGTATTATAAATTATTGCTTGAAAATTGAAAAGGTACAAAAATCAGCCAGATAAATTAGTTAAGTAAATAAATAAGCTAGTATTTAAGTATCAGATTAAGGGTTCTTTCTATCCTATTTTTAATTTAAAAAAATAAATTTTATTAAATTAGTTAAGTAAGTAAATAAGGGGTTTTTCTATCATATTTTTAATTTTAAAAAATAAATTTTAAAAACAATAATTGAAATAAAAATGTACTAGGTATAGTTTTATAAATATTTCCGTTGAAAAGCTAAGCTAAACTGTAAAAAAAAAGATCTCTTTAAGATTAGCTTTAATGCAACTACATGCTTGGAAAAATATATCAAACTACTTAGTTTGATTAACTAATAAATATACAAAAACTATTTAAGATTTATTCTACTCAAAGGAAGAATAAAATAACAAAAGAAAGTATAATAAATCTTCAAAAAGGTATCAAAATCCTCACAGACATCTACATATATATATATCTGTAAATATATGTCCACTTATATATGTATTAAGTTCTAAGAGTTGTTCTAGTTATAGTTATAGAGTTTTATGAAAATTATCCTATTTTCCATGTATACGTAATATTAATTGACCGCATTTCCGATGGGTTCCATGCACGCGGCTAATCACTTGTGCTTAAAGCCCACGACCTCCTTAGCCACGGCGGCTGCATTTTCCACTTTCCCATTGTGATTCGCGCCAAAGTTGTTAACAACTGCCCGGGGGAAGTGTAGAAGGAAGTCGGGAAAGGGCCTATCAGCTGCTAACGGAAGTTGTTTTCCTCCCACCCTTCCCAGCATGGGTGTGTGTGTGTATGGATTCACCCATTCATGTGCGGCACTCGCGATTCTTACAGACTTTTCCAATTATGATGGGGCGCGGCGGCTGTTCTCGGGTCTCGCGTGTTTAAGCATTTTAAAAACCATTTTCGCCGCCGCTGCCGCCGTTTTGATATGAAAGTTCAATGGCCAATTCGAAATGTGCTGCGCTTTGCACGATTCCAACAAAGTTGGGCGCCGTTTTGTTCTTCGGTTTAGTTTTAATTTGCCATTGTTTTCAGTTTTGTGTTGTATTCACTCCGATCTGCATGCAATTACAGAGCACCAGGTTACAGAGAACATTTCCCAGAGTCGGGTAGTTGGACAATATTCATACAATTTAAGTGATAATCTCTGGAAACGCCCTGAATTGTGGGGTCACTTTTGTAAGATTTCAATTAAGATAGATATTACATAACTGTTATTAAGTTGCGATTGAATTTAATGAAAAAAAGTTCAGATTATCTCTTCAAAATAATATTAGTTATTCATTTACAAGAACCATTAGTAAAGTAATATCTGAAGAGCAAATAATGATTGTAAAATCTGCATTACAGATAAGATAGATATGATATGACATTTGTCACCATTATCTAACTAGATCTAGAAGTATTACAATGTTCACTTAAATAAATGAGGTGTAATTTTATCGGAACTGTCATTATCGTAAAGATTTCATGATTCAGACTTCAATTGCCATTTAAAAGAAAAACTATGACAGTAAGATAATATTTTTCGAATACAAAAGTAGAGTTATCTTATCTTAAAAATGTATCTTTCTATAAAAAATATGTTTTGTGTTAAATAAGTCTTAATTTATTACATCCAATTAACAATCATTGCTGAGAAAACATTTATAATTGTTTATATCATATATGTATATATGTCAATATAATAATAATAATTCACAACTTCTTTCTCCTATGAAACTTAAATTCACTGCGAACTGAGACAGATGGAAATTGTTTAATCTAAGATTTTGTGGTAATCTCGTTGCTGCTATCTTTAAGTTTTAATAAAAGGAATTCTTTGCTCAAAGGCCTGACCTAAACAGACCCAAAATGCTGAAAATGCAATTATCAACAAATGCAGCAAATCTCTTTATGGCCGTTGGTCGCAAATTGCATTGCTCGGCTTTGGTTTTAATGAATAACCCGGATGACCGAGGGGCTGTGCAGGATCAGGGACTATGACTGCGGCTGTCTGAAAATGGGAAATCATTTTGGGCAAACGTCAAAGCAAGGGCACAACTGAAAAATCTCTGCGAGAACATTTTAATGTCAGAACTTAACCCATTTACATGACAATTCCAGCACACCGAGGCCAACAATAAAGCCGCAACCGAAAAGGAAACAACGGAAATAAATGCATTCCAGCCAGGCGGAGAGACACACACATCAACTACGCCTGGGGGAATGCACTTAGAGAAATTTTGATAAAGAAGGACATGGAAAATACTTTTTCTATTTTAATTATTTTGTTATATTTATCCTTTTCATTTGTTTGTTATAATGGT